GGTCTTTTTGAGACAGGGTCTCCCTGTAGCCCCAGCTGTCCTGGAACTCACTATGTAGACCAGGCTGGCCTTGAACTCACAGGGATCCGCCTGCCTCTGCAGGCGTTGGATTCCCCTGGAACTGGAGTTAGGATGGTTGTTAGCTGGCAATGGAACCCAAGTCCTCTGCAAGAGCAGCCAGTACTCTTAACCACGGAGCCATCTCCAGCCCTGGAAAGCGTCTTCTTTTTTTTTATTTTATTTTTATATTTTGGTCTTTTTGAGACAGGATCTCTCTGTAGCCCCAGCTGTCCTGAAACTCACTATGGAGACCAGGCTGGCCTTGAACTCATAGAGATCTGCCTGGCTCTGCCTCCTGAGTGCTGGGATTAAAGGTGTGTGCTACCACGCCCTGCTTATTTTTATTTTATGTGTATGCATCCACATGGCAGAAAGCTTCTTTTTCTTTCTTTCCTTCTTTTCCTCTCTCTCTCTCTCTCTCTCTCTCTCTCTCTCTCTCTCTCTCTCTCTTTCGTGTGTGTATGTGTAAGTCAGAGATCAACTTGCCAGAGTCATTTCTCTCCTTCTGCCATGTTGGTCTGAGCTGCCTGCTGTGTACACAACAGCATCGTGACAGACCTCTAGGGAGGACGTCAGGTTGCCACCTCTTCCGGAATCTCTAGCTCCTAGGGAGTGTTGCCCACAGACGTTTCATGACTTTTGAGAGTTAATTCAAACAGGCTTTCCCTCCATTACTGAGCTCTTCCCAGACACAGGTGGTCATTTGTTCTGTCCCACCTAAATCAGATGGCCTTGAATGGGAGCCAGGTGTGTGACTTGGGCAGAAGCCAGAGTCCTGGCCTGACCAACTTGGTGTTGCATGGTAGAGTGCTGAAACACCGAAACCTTAGGAAGACTAGTGCTTTATTGTAAAATTATAAGTTACCCCGTTTCAGTTTTCTTTCTTGCTGCTGTGATAAAATACCTTGAAAAAAGCAGCTTCCAGGAGAAAAGGCTTATTTGGCTCACAGTCACAGTCCATCATTTTTGGAGGAAGTCAAGGCCACAGGACCTTAAACCTACTAGCCACATCACATTCAAGGTCCAGAGCAGAAAACAGTGAATCTATGTATGCGTGCTCAGCAAGAGCCTGTGCTTAGGGAAGGGTGGGCCTGCTGGGTGGTCTTCCCACCTCAGTTATAATCACCATAACCCCCCGGGTAACCTTATCTGGGCAGTCCCACAGTGAAACTTCCCAGCTGATTCTAGATTGTGTCATGTTGACAGTGAAAATTAACCACATAACCCTATTATTTTTGTCTGTAGAGAGTGAGCTTAGTTGGTCCCGTTGAGGCAGAGCAGCAACATGACACACTCGGGGCTTTTCCTTAATGTCAAATCATCTGTTCCTTTTTTTTGGTCTTTTTGAGACAGGGTCTCCCTGTAGCCCCAGCTGGCCTGGAACTCACTATGTAGACCCAGGCTGACGTTGAACTCACAGAGATCCGCCTGCTTCTGCCTCCTGAGTGCTGGGATTAAAGGTGTGCACTACCACGTCCGGCCTGTTCCATTTTTCAAAGCGCTATTTGTTTTTCACTCCTTCCAATAATATTTAACACAACGAAGCCACCACTTTGCCAGTGAGCGTTCCCCCACAGAGCAGCAGCTTGCCTTACTTAACGACACTTGCATGTTGTCTCTGGGCTTAGTTGCTGGGGAACAGTCTGGCCATCATTACCTGGTAGGTTGCTGTAACCCTGACCTTTTCCCTGAGTGTGACAGTGAGCAGGCCGCCATCTGGAGCTGCTGCAAGGACCTCATCCATCTCCCTGACCAAGCCAACCCTCATCAGCAGGTCCGTGTGTTGTACTGAAGACTTAGGGGTGTGGTTTGATTGTACAGGGAGCAGGCCGACTGCAGGGGACAGTGCCGTGATGTTTCAGTTCTGTGGTGCTGAACTTGGGCTGTATAGGCAGGGAGGACTGGCTCCCCACTCGGAACCAGTGGGCATGAGGCAGGAGGAAGGCCTCAGTTGGTCAGGAGTGAGCTTAAGACAGGGCTGTTCCTTTCAAGGCTTTGTATGTTGAGCAGTGAGTGACAGATAAAGAAATGGTCTTGGGGTACACGAAGACCTTGCTTGACTTTGCAGGACTGCAGTAAGTTTTCAGGAGGCCAGCTTTGGAGGGCAGGTACACAGGATAATGCACAGAAATTGCAGGCTATGACTTTGTGGGGGCACCTATTGGCATTGTTCCACACAAAACAGTTGTCTTCCTGGACTGATTTTGCTGTAGACCCTGCTTTTCTGCTGCCCAGGGCTGTCACAAGTGCCAGCTGACTCCTCGTTATTGGAAGGGACATGGGCTGGAGTAGCGGTGACATCTTGCTCCTTTGCCAGCCCTTGTGGGACAGCTGAAGGAGCCACTGTTGCTGCCCTCCAGTGCAGATGTCCCCGAGCACAGCTCACCTGGAGCCATGGCAGGCCAGTGTGGTTTTCAGTGTGTGGAGCTAGGGGCACTGGCTGGCCATCTCACTGTTCCCTGTGTCTCTCTGGCTCTCTCTACAGGTTTAAGGGGCTCAAGCCGACTATTATCCTTCTCTCCCGAGGAATTTCCGACGCTGAAAGCAGCTGGAGGGCAGGACAAGGCTGGCAAAGAAAAGGGCGGCTTAGATCTGTCGTATGGGCCAGGACCAAGCCTCCGCCCTCAGAGTAAGTGAATGGCAGTTTTGCACTGGGCCCCTTGGCAACCCCCTTCTTATTTCTGTGCTCCCAGGCAGGGCTCAGCTGCTGGGTATCCCAGCATGGAAAAGGCTGTTCCTGAAATGTGTATCCTCCTGGCTGCCTCTCTGGTCCCCCCTCCCCTCTGCCTCTCTGGTCCCCCTCCCTCTATATATCTCTTATTCTTTGGACTGGGCCTGGCTACTTTCATTTGTTATCTGGTTGCTACACTGGGTGGTCACATCATGGAAGCATGCAGGGTCAGCCATCTTGACCACATACCTGGTCCTCGGTCTGTTCCCCAACCTGGAGAGCTTCTACCAACACTCCTACCCCTACCCCAGTCACATCAGAATGTAGCCCATGTGTGGTGCTGTTGTGGGTGCTCTGCCAGCAGGCCTGGAGTGGTATGAGGTTCTGGTATTCAAGAACCAGGTTTTCTGTCTAGCCTGACCAGGAAGCTGAACTACCCCCTTGATCCAGGTGTTGAAATTCAAGGGGCTTTTGTTTGCTTGTCGCCATCTCTGAGGCCTCACCTGTTGATGGGTACTGATGCCAAGTCAGAAGCACCATCCTGTAAGCTGAGTGTCCACTGTGCCACACTGCTGAAAACAGCAACTTTAGGGGGTATACACAGTGTGTGATTGATGGCTGCTCTGTAGGACTAAAAGGTTTGGAAGTAGAATCAGCTTCTCAGACTGGTTTCTTCTCTTTTGAGAAGATGAAAGATAGGTCCGAGAGGTGATCGTGCCTTGCCCAGGATCACACAGCAAAGTGGGGGTAGACTAGTTGTCCAGCCCTTGTCCGGGCTGTTTTTCTTTTAGGGGTGGCAGCTCCTAACCAGAAGTGGACAGAGAAGGGTCTGGGCTCATTTTGTTCCTCTGTGACCTCCCATACTAGTCCCCTTGAGTACAGTTTCTCTTTGCACAGTTTGAGTTGCATCTGAAAATATTACTGTGCAGTATTTTGAAAAGTGGAGCATGCCACGTCATTGTGATTAGAGCATGTCTAAGTTGTTCCTCTTCTTTTCTATCTGATTTATAAATCTCTTCTTGCGTATGCATAAGAAAAACCAGTCTGTTGGGTTTGGAATGGCCAGGGTTGTAGGTATGTTGGGGGGTCTGGGAGTACCCCTCCTTTGGTAAGGGGGCACCTATAGTGATTTCTATCAGGTGTCACTCCCATGTGGCCACGGGAAACACCTTCTTGTAGAGATAGACAATCTTCAGGTTGTTTATTTTTATTTTGTGTGTGGGTATGGAGGTCAGAGCACACCTTGCTGGGGTTGGTTCTCTCCTACTCTGTGGGACCTAGGGGTCGAACTCAGGTTGTCAGACTTGTCTCCAAGTGCCTTTACCTGCTGAGCCATCACACTAGCCCTGTCTTCAGGTTTTACCTGTGGACTGGGTGTGTGCCCCTTGTACGTCTCACATGATCACACTGTACCAGGGTGAAAGCATCCTGTTTTGTTTATACATGAGTCCATGGTAAGAGTCTTGCAGGCCCCAATGGGAGGAGGCAGTGCTGGCTAAAGGAGTGACCCACGCTGTCTTGATGTCTCTGGCTTCTGTCTTCTGAGAGGGGATGATATCTAGCTGTGGGGAAGCCAGATTGTATTTATATTTGTCCCTCTCTGAGCAGATAGGAGTTTGTATTTCTCAGAAAACCCAACTTCCCTCAAAACATTCTGTCTGTCCCCACTTTCCCTTTCCCTGATAGCACTGATTCATTTGGAGTTTTTTTCTGTTTTCATTGTGACTTTTTGGGGGGATAGAGGGTGATGGAGGCCCCGTGACCCTCAGAGCCTCATATATCTCCCTCCCCTTTCCTCTCCGCCCCTTTTTAATTTCTAGATGTGACAAGCTGGAGGGAGGGCGGTGGGCGAAACATAATTTCTGCCACGTCTCTGAACGCCTCCCCAACTGAGCTGGGCAGCAGGAACTCGAGTGCGGGAGACGGAGCCCCCTCGGCGTGCACCAGCGAGTCTAAGGACCCCTCTCTCCACCCGGCTCAGCCTGTCCGCAAAGGGGCCTCTCAGTTCATGGGACATGCTTACCACCCTCCTACATACCATGACATGCTTCCTGCTTTTGTAAGTCTGTACAGTGCCTTTTCCCCTCAGCTGGATGCTTTCATCCAGCAGAACTGAGCGTTGGCTCATTGGCCACACATCGGCCTGAGCTCCCTCCCCAGGCTCGCTGCTCGAACCAGCTATAAGCCACTCTGCCCTCTTCAAATCTACCACCTTGGGTTTCTACCTCTGGTGACTTGGACATCATTGTAGTCTTGGCTCTTCAGAAAATAGAGAGGCAGGTGTTCCCTGTCTTACCAAAAGGCAGAAATGGGGGTGATGGAGATAGGATTCATCAGCGATTCCCCAGCCTTTCCTCTGTGTGTGTGTGTGTGTGTGTGTGTGTGTGTGTGTGTGTGTTTTCCCATTTCCCACTTTCCAAAATGAATTCTCATTGAACCTATAATTGGGCCATTGCCAGAAAATCTGTTCATTGGTATTGTGTTTCAGATGTGTTCACCACAGTCATCAGAGAACCAGGGTACAGTGGAACGAAGCTCTTTTCCCCTCCCTCAGCTCCGCCTAGAACCCCGAGTTCCTTTTAGACAGTTCCAGATGAACGACCAAGACGGGTAAGGTTGTGGCCCTGTGGCTGCCTGTGTCAGAGTGTGATGGCTCATGCATGACAGTGCTTTGTCCTTTGGAGACCGTAGAGAATTTCCAGGCCTGGTGGGGTAGCGGGCTTTAGGCCTGGCAAGGAGCTTGGTTTATGGCTTTAAAGCCTGGGCAGTACAGGAGTTTGGTGGTGCTATGCAAGTGTCAGTGGGCACATGGATTGCACATGAGGCAGAGCTGCTCTCTAGGATGTTTGTTTATTACATTTTAAAAAATTTTATTATTTTTATTTTATGTGTATGCATGTATTGCCTGCATATAGGTAAGTGAGCCTGTGCCATGCAATACCCTCAGAGGTCAGAAGAGGCTGTCAAATCCCCTGGGACTGGAGTTATGAACAGTTGTTAGCTGCCATGTGGGTGCTGGGATTTGAACCAACCAGTGTTCTTAACCACTGAGCTATCTCTCCAGCCCCAACATTTATTTATTTTATTTTATTTATTTTTTTATTAAGACATAGTCTCACTATGTAGCCCTGCCTGCCTGAAACTTAACAGTGTAGACCACACTGGTTTTGAACTCACAGAGATCTGCCTGCCTCTGCCTCCTGAGTACTGAAATTAAAGGAGTGTGCCACCAAAGCTGACGACTGCATGCTTCTTTTAAAAGGAATTGACACAAATGTTGACTCAACACCAGCCTGAACAAGGCAGAACTTGTTTTTGTTGAAATGACTGTTTCCATCTGTCAGTTAACGTGACTCTTTCATGCTTTTCTGTCTCACCAGGAAAGAAAGGCCAGGCATGACTCGCCCAGTGCGCCCACTGAGGCAGCTGGTGGAGCGGGCACCACGACCCACTATCATCAATGCAGAAAACCTGAAGGGCCTGGATGATCTAGATACCGACGCGGACGACGGCTGGGCAGGTGGGTAGTAGGAGCAACCGCGATCCTGTGGCTCCAGTGTACACTGTTCGTGGCCATGACAGGCCGCAGGAGAGATTTCTGTTCCCTGTGGGTCCTTGAGTGCTCAGATCAGAGGGTATTCCCTGTCCAAGCTGAGTCTTCTTTTGATCTATGCTCTTAAATCTTAGAGCTTAATCTTATGGGAAATTCTGCTATTAAATTTTAAAAAGAACTTTCTGGAATTACTGGCATTCACCACTGTACCTGGCTAGGCACTTTTTTCCCATATGTAGGGTAAACCCAGGGGCTCACACATACTAGGCAAGCGCATAACCCTAAGGAGCTTCCCTCCCCCTTTAAAAAAATATTTATTATTATTATTATTTTTTTATTTCTTGGCCTTTTTGAGACAAAAAAATCATTAATTTTCTGAGTGTGTGTGCGTGCGTGCACACGCATATAAGTGTGCTATGGCATGTGTGTGGTCAGAGAATGCAGTGTGAGAGTTGGTTCTTTCCATCAACTCAGGTCATCGGGCTTGGCACAGGCACCCGTACCCACTGAGCCGTTTCGCTGGCCCAAGCTCCCCACCACCACTTGCTGTGTAGTAAAACCTGACCTTGAACTCTGTGTCTGGACTCAGCCTTCTGAGTGTTGGGATTGTAGGTGTGTGGCACCCACCTAGCTCCCAAGAGCTTTAGGTAATAGAACATTGAACTAAAACACTAAAAAATGCTCTCCCAATTAGCCCTGTCCCCCCTTCAGGATTTTGTTGGCCCTGCTCCTTTATCTCTAACCCTACTCACCCATCCCAACCTGCTTGGTTTCCTTCTGCATTTATTTTGGTTGGTTTCTGATAAATTTTAGTTATATTGCAAAGCATACACTTTGATGGTGCAGTTTTGATAAAAACATACGAATATGCCGGGCGTGGTGGTGCACGCCTTTAATCCCAGCACCCGGGAGGCAGAGGCAGGTGGATCTCTGTGTGTTCAAGGCCAGCCTGGTCTACATAGTGAGTTCCAGGACAGCTGGGGCTACAGGGAGACCCTGTCTCAAAAAAACCAAAACCAACCAAACAAACAAAAATACGCATATATGATAAACATCTACATGAGTATATAGAGTAGCCCCCTCCTGCCCCAATTACTGCTGTTTTGATTTGATTTTAAAAATTTACTTATTTGTGTGTGCGTGTGTGCGCCCCAGAGGTTAAATGGTGTCTCCCTCAATGGCTTTCCACCTAATTTTATTTTTAAAAACTTTTGGATTTATTTTTTAATTTATGTGTGTAAGTATTTTATGTGCATGTATGTAAATGCACCAATGCTGTACACTGCTCATGGAGCCTAGAAGAGGGTGTTGAATCCCCTGGAACTGCAGTTAGAAACAGTTGTTAGCTGCCAGGTAGGTACTGGGAACAGAACCCGGATCCTCTACAAGAGCAGCCAGTGCTCTTAGCCCCTGAGCCACCTCTCCAGCCCTTCCACCTGATTTTATGAGACATGATGTCTCATTGGGATCTGGAACTCATCAATTCTGCTAATGTAGTTGACCAGTGAGCTCCAGGATTCCACCTCTCTCTGTCTTCCTGGTGCTATGGTTACAGGTGTGCACCACTGTGCCTGGCTTTTTATCTGGGTGCTAGGGATTAAATTCAGGTCCTAACGTTTGTATAGTAAGTACTTTACCAGCCAAGTCATCTTTGCAGCCTCTCTTCTGATTGGTTTTACTGCAGTTTAGTTTTGACTCATTCTGTTTTGTTGAGGCACATTCTCATGTGTCCCAGGCTGGCCTTTGGTGCCTGATCCTCGCTCCTGTGCCTCCTGAGGGAGGGGATCCCTGCTGTGCTCCACCCTGTTCTCTCTGGTTCTGGCTATTACAGAACCTCAGCCAAATGGACTCACATAATTTCTGTTTGTCGGATATTTTTATATTCAGCAATATTTTTATATACATTAGTAATTGCCTTTTTTTTTCTTTTTTTTTGGGGGGGGTGGTCTTTTTGAGACAGGGTCTCCCTGTAGCTCCAGAAGTCCTGGAGCTCACTATGTAGACCAGGCTGGCCTTAAACTCACAGAGATCTGCCTGCCTCTGCCTCCCGAGTGCTAGGATTCTGGGATTAAAGGCATGCACCACCATGCCCAGCTAGTAATTGCTTTCTAAAAAAATACTTACTATTTTTATTTTATGTGTATAAGTGTATTGGCTGCATGTGTGTAAGTGCACCTGTATCTTACGATGGCTGAGGAGGTCAGAAGAAGGCATCCAATCCCCTGGAACTGGAGTTACAGATGGTTGTTAGCCACCATGTGGGTGCTGAGAATCAAAAACCCAGGTCCTCTGCAAGAGCAGTCAGTGCTCTTAACCTCTGAGCCATCTCTCCAACCCCAATAATTGCTTTTAACTGCTGTGATATATCAGTATACTACCTTTTTTTTTTTTTTTCCCAGTTCAGAATCATGTCTTTAATACCTGACTCAGGAGGCAGAGGCAGGCAGATCTCTTGTGAGTTTAAGACCAGCCTGGTCTACATAATGAGGCCCTGTCTTTTTTAAAAAATAAAAATTAAAAAAAAAATCACATTACTGGGCTGAAGAGGAGGGGGCTCAGTAATTAAAAGCATTTGCTGCTCTTGCAGAGGAGCCATGTTCAAGTCTCAGCACCCATGTTGGGCAGCTCACAACTGCCTGCAACTCCAGCTCTAGGAGGTGCAACACTCTCTTCTGGCCTCCATGAGCACCTGCACACACATGGCATTCATTCACACAGACACACATATCCACAGAAACAGAATAATATAAAGTAACCTTTTTGAATCACCTTTTGCATCCCATCGGAACGCCTTTTGCCTCCCCTGAGGGTGAACCTGGTGTCTGTTGTCTTAGAATTCTGTTACTTTGGATCTGGGCCCGCCAGGGTTTAGCTTTTATGTGCAACATGATTTGGGGTCCAGATGTGTGTTTCTCTGCACCATTCACTGAGGCTTTTCCCGTTGAATTGGTTCGGCACCTTTGCCAAAAGCCAGTTGACCATGTAAGTCCTGGTCTATTTCTGGATGCCACTGTTTCTGTGGACCAGTTGGCTCACTCTTGTGCTGATTATGGGAAATCTTAAATTCAGAGTGTGAGCTTCCTGCCTTAGTTCTTCTCAGGGTTTGACTGTTCAGATTCTTTCATTTCTATATAAATTTGGGCTCATCCTTGGCAGTATTGACAGAGAGCCTGCAGGCGTTTGGATTAGGGTGGTCTTGTTTCTGTATCAGGATCAGCCACACCTCAGTTTTGAATCTTCAGTTCCAGGAGACTGGGGAATCTGCCAGGTCTCTCTTTTCTCATTGTTCTTTTGAAGTTGTCAATGAAGGGTTTTTTTTTTTTTTTTTTTTTTTGTCTTTTTGAGACAGGGTCTCCCTGTAGCCCCAGCTGTCCTGGAACTCACTATGTAGACCAGGCTGGCCTTGAACTCACAGAGATCCGCCTGCCTCTGCCTCCCAAGTGCTGGGATTAAAGGCGTGCGCCACCACGCCTGGTGATTGAAAGGAATATTTTTAAGATTTATTTTATTTCTACTTATTTCGTTCTCAATTTATGTGTATGAGTGCTGCATGTAGGTGTACCATGTGCACAAAATGAACACAGAAGAGGAAGAGGGTATCGGAGCCTCTGGTACTGGAGGTAAAGACAGTTGTTAGCCACCGTGTGGGTGGTGGCACCCAAACTGGGGTCTTTATAAGAGCAATAGTGCTCTTAACCACTGAGCCATCTCTCCAGCCCCAGTTTATTTTTTAATGGTGTGTGTGTGTGTGTGTGTGTGTGTGTGTGTGTGTGTGTGTATACATGTGAGTGGAGGTGCCATGGAGTCCAGAAGAGGGCATCAGATCCCATGGGGCTGGAGTTACAGGCACTTGTGAACTACCTGATATAGGTGCTATAAACCTAACCTGGTTCCTCTGGAAGAGTAGCTAGTGCTCTTAACCACTGAGGCATCCCTTCAGCCCCAGTGGAGAGAATTTTAATGTCTAATTTTATTCGTGAATGAAGTCCTGCTTGGCATGTACAAGGCCCTAAGTTCAGTTGATGTACCACAAAAACAAAATAAAACAAAAAAGCCAATAATGGTGGTCCATTCCTACATCCAAGCTGTGGGGCTGCTAAGGCTAGAGGCTCACTTGAGACCAGCCTGGGCAATACAGCAAAGTCTTGTCTCTTCAAAACGATAATAGGGGATGGGGATGGGGATGGGGATGGAGCTCATTTGCTAGAGCGCTTGCCTAGCATGCCGGAGGCCTTGGATTCACCACCACCACCACCACCACCCCTGCCCCACCATTGAAATTTGACATGGTGGCACATGCCTATAATCCCAACACTTAGGAGGTAGCAC